CATACACCTGAGATGGCGGGTTCGAATCCAGCCTGGGCTCGCCAAACAACAATGATGGCTGCAACCAAAAATTAGCCAGGCATTGTGGCGAGCACTTGTAGTCCCAGCTACTTGGGAGGCAGAGGCAGGAGAATCGCTTGAGCCCAGGAGTTAGAGGTTGCTGTGATGCCATGGCACTTACCAGGGTGACAGCTTGAGGCTCTGTCTCAAAAAAAAAAGAGGATTGCTTGAACCCAAGAGTTTGAGGCTGCTGCAAGCTATGACACCACAGCACTCTGCCCAGAGTGAAAGAATGAGACTCTATCCCCTCAATAATAACAACAACAATAATAATGACAAAAATGGACAAAAGATTCCAATACACATTTCTCTAAAAAATATATACAAATGGCCAATAAGTACATGAAAAGATGCTCAACATCATCAACCATCAGGGAAATACAAATCAAAATCACAATGAGATACCACTTCATATCTACTAGGATATTAATAAATAAAAAATGGATAATAACAAGCATCAGTGAGGATATGATAAAATTGAAACTCTTGTGCACTGCTATTGGAATTGTAAAATGTTGTAGCCACTTCAGAAAATAGTTTGGCAGTTCATGACCCAGCAATTCTACTGCCACGTATATAGTCAAGAAAAATGAAAATAAAAACTTATGTCTACACAATTTTGTGTACTCTTCCCTAGGGAGGAGGAAAGCCAGGGCAAGTTAACAAAAAAAAAAAAAAAAAAGAGGGCCAGGAGTGGTTACATCTATAACCCCAGTACTCTGGAAGGGCCAGGTGATGGATCACTCAAGCTCAAGAGTCTGAGGTTTCTGAGAGCTAGGGGGACACCACGGTTCTCTAGCTGGGGCAACAGAGCAAGACTCTGTCTATAAATAAATAAATGAGTGATTTTGAAAAATCCAGGAAAACAAAAGCATAAAAGAAAAAGAGTCCCCACCCCCAATCCAATGTAGTTACAGAGACAACTGAACAACACAGTTCTGAACAACACAGAACTTGGCCCTGAAGTTTTCTAAATTAGCAATGGCCTTTTTGTTTGATGCCTCTTTGCCTCAGACCCCCTGTGGTGACACATGACTCAGCTAGTGAGGGGCAGGGGCTCAGGAACCTTAGTGATGACAGAGAAGTAGAGACAACTCTCTGGAAGGTCTATCAATGGATGAAGGCTGGTCAGTATGCAAAGCAGACCAGGAGGACCGGAATGATGGCATGCAGCAGGCCACACACATCTTGTCCTCATCAGAGCAAGTACAGAGACTAGATCTGGTTCTCTGCCCCCTATCTTTCTTCCAGTGGAACAGGCTGTCTCAGGTGATAAGTCCCCTGTCACTAGAGGATCCAAGCTTTGGTTACGCAATGACCAGGAAGAGAAGTTGCTGAGATGATTTAAACTGGAGGTGGAACTACGTGACCTTAACAATCACTTCCAACCTTGAGCTTCTGACTAGTAGCCAGTTTTCTTTGTGTCTCACCACTCTTAAAACTCTCCAGTCCCAGCTCACATCACTCAATGAGTGTCAATTCATTCTGTCACTCTGGAACATCAGCATGTGCTGTGTGCCAGGGCCAGGGTTCAGTGGTGAACAAGGTAACACCTCTGCCTCCTTGAAGCCCACATTCTCCTGGGTAGATGCAGACAATAAACCCCTAAATAATGAATAAGAACAATTCAGGTAAAAGCTCCATGAATAAAATACAGCGAGAGAATGAGAGAAACTGATGGAGAAAGGGGCTTCTTTGGACAGAGTAGTCAGGAAAAACATCTCTACAGAGAAGACATCTGAGCTGAAAAGTAAGAAAGAGTCAAAGTGGGAAGAAGTGGTGGAAGTACAAAGGCCCTGAGAAGTCTCCTGATAACCTGAACTCAAATTTTCATGAATTGCATCTCATCCTAAAGTCCCCACCAAGGCCAATGGTCCTCAGACTCATAGTCTTCCTTTTCCTCGATTAAAAAAATCAATACAGACATGAACTTTCCACTGGAGAGTGTGTTCTGAGTGAGGGCACAAAGGAATATGTGTGCATCAGCATGTCAACTCCCTAAAACCTGGGGCCTTCCCTGGACAGGGGTTGAGTCTATTTTTGTTGGGCACAGGTCTCTTAGAGAATACAATGTAAGGGGAATCTTCTGGAAAAATATATACCTGTGTCCAACCATCTCATGCACATTTGAGGAGGTTCCCGGGGCCTCGGGTTCAGAACTCCTGTCTGTGGAGTTACAGAAGAAAGAAACTCAACTGCTGGCCAGGTGCAGTGGCTCACACCTGTAATCCTAGCACTCGGGGAGGCTGAGGATTGCTTGAGCTCAGGAGTTCAAGCCCAGCCTGAACAACAGGAAGACTCCATCTCTACTAAAAATTGAAAAATTAGCTGGGAGTTTGTGCTGGGCACCTGTAGTCCCAGGTACTTGAGAGGCTGAGGCAAGAGGATCATTGAACCCAGGAGTCTGAAGTTGCTCTGAGCTTGGCTGAGGCACAGCACCTGGGCAACAGAGAGAAATTCTGTCTCAAAAATTAAAAAAAGAAAGGAAGGAAGAAAGAAATGAAGGAAAGAAGGAAGGAAGGAAACAGCCAAGAAGAAAGAAATTAAATGGGTGTAGTCCAGGGAGACCATACAGATAAAATCAATATCTGCTGGAGATGAATGAGCGGGGGGAAAAGGGGACATAATCAGACCCTTGCCCCTAACAGACTCCCACACTCAGAGATTAGAAGATGTCAGCCAGTCAAGGCTGGAGGCCTCAAGGAATCAAGTGAAATCTTATCCACTCCACTCCCACTCTACCACAAAGAAACAAACATTCAGTCACACGGCAGAACTTCCAGAGAAGGTCCAAGACCCACTTCCCAGGAGTGTCCCACTTTCTGAGATAATACTTTGCACAAGCTGGGTTAACCACAGGAGATGTTACCGCAAAGCCCAGATTTTCCAGTGTTACAGTAGACAACCACTGCTTCTGCGTAAATAACGACAGATCGTTAGCAGGAGAGGACACCCACTTCATTAAGAAGCCAGGGAGGTGGATGCACTGTTAGACGTGGGCAATAGTAACAATGAGAGTTGCTAATACGCATAGAATTTGCCTTAAACGGATCACTATTTAAACACTTCAATCTTATGCAACCCTTGGTTTGTACTACTGTCATCCCCATTTGACAGATAAGGAAAGGGAGGCATATTTAGATGAAGTAACTTGCCCAAGACTACACAGCTAAGACAAAGACGTAGGAAGTGCTCCTTTTCCACACCCCCAGGAAGAAAGCGGTTATCCCTGGGCAGTGCACGAAATGCTTGAAAACAAGTTGCTGCCGGCATTCAGGACAACTACCGTTTGGCAGTTCTCACATCCGTGCCCAGAGCTGGAAGCAAGCCTGGGGCCGGGCAATAAATCCAGCAAGCCCAGTCCTCTAGGAACAAGCCGCTGTCGCCACGTTCAAGACCAAGATGAGGCCGCTGATGGCACGAGAGCAGCTCTCCACTTCGGCAAAGCCCAAGGGAGGCGATTTCCACTCAATCGGTCAACTTCCACCCTCAACAAAATGCTCACCGGTGTATGGCCAGGAAGCATACTTAACCCCTTCGGCGTCCGCCACCCTGGCCTCCGGTCTCAGGATCGTCTGACCGCTCGGTTTAAAAGATGCAGCCGCTAGCACAAGGGCCCCAGAGGGCTGGGGCTGCGCTCGCTGCCCCTAAGGACTCAGAGCCTGGCTCCCCCACCACCAAGTGACCGCCGGCCCTGTGAGCCACCACCAGCAGCGCCAGATTCGACGCTGGCCTGTGGTGCTCCTCTGGGCTGGAGAAAAAAGTTGGGGGAAAGGGGCGCGTCCCAGGACAGGTGGGGCCGCCCTTCCCGGAAGTGGCTCCGGGAATTTTCGCCCAATAGGCTTCCAGGGGACCGAAGTCAGGGTCTCCAGCAGGAGCAGCGGCTGGTCGGGGTCGGCGGTGGCACTGCCCACCTGCGCCGCGCCCCAGCGCTCAGTGCGCCCGGATGCGCTCTGTAAGCGCAGGACAAGAGGGCGCTCAGGACCCGCCTCAGGCACCGCTACCCGGGAGGGGGAAACTCAGAGCTGGAGGTGTGAGTCCAGCTCTGGGTCGATGGGTTAAGGCAAGGGAGGATCCAGCCCGGAAGAAGTTTCCGTTGCTGGGAGATCTAGCGGGGTATTCAGCCAGGAGAATGTAGTGGGGTGAGGGTGAGGGTGGGGGACCGGGTTCCCGATGAGCCGCCCGCACTCACCTCAGCGCGCAGCGCTGGCTCGGCCCCGCCGGGCTGGAGAGCGCACCGCAGCAGCCGCTGGGGTGGCGGTGGGGGCGGCGGCTGCCGGGACGGCTCCCTGGAGCGGGGCGGGGCGGGGCGGGGCGGAGGGAGGGAGGCCGGGCCGGCCACGTGGGCGGGAGGCGGGCCGGGGACCCCCGCGGGCTCCCGAGCCGGGTGGTGCTGGACTTAGACGCGGCTATCCCAGGCTATTTCTCCTCAGCCCTGCTCCCCACGTTCTGCTCGGATCTACGGGAGGACTAGGGCCCCCAGGATATCCCCCGCCACCTAAACCAGATTCGGATGGAGAGAACCCACTGGGTCGGAAAAGCGATGCGTAGCCCGTCCCCTCCAACCCCCCAGCTGAGAACGCGCCGTAAACCCCGAGGGCTAGTCAAGGGACAGGTAACTCAGCAGGAGAGGATTGTGGCGACTCTCGTGCCAGGAGTAGTAAGGGCTGCCCTACCGGACGAGGCCCAGAGCCTGCGCGTGGAGCCCCCCCACCTCCCCAGCTAGGCTGATCTTGGGCGTGTCTGATCCTGCCCAAGCCTCAATTTCCTCGACGGTGGAGGTGAGAATGAGCCACGAGCTGCATCAAGCCTGGCGTCCAGAAGGTTCTCAGTAATTGACAGTTTGTAGGTAGACGCTGAGCCTGAAGGTGAGAGGCCTGGGTCATCTCCACGGAAGTAAACATGATAATGTAAATAAAACTATATTCTGCATTCATTCATTCATTCAACAGATTAATGCTTATTGTCCTCTGGACATCCTTTAAAAGCAGAAATAAAGAATGCCCTGGCTCAGAGCCTGTAACTCAAGCGGCTAAAGCGTCAGCCACATACACCAGAGCTGGCGGGTTCAAATCCAGCTCAGCTGCCAAACAACAATGACGGCTGCAACCAAAAAAAAAACTAGCCGTATCTTGCGGTGGGCACCTGTAGTCCCAGCTACTTGGGAGGCTGAGGCAAGAGAATCGCTTAAACCCAGGAGTTGGAGGTTGCTGTGAGCTGTGATGCCAAGGCACTTTACCGAGGGTGACATCTTGAGGCTCTGTCTCAAAAAAAAAAAAAAAAAAAAAAAATGCCCTAAAATGTAGTTACTGGGCTCCTAACGTGTAAACTCTAAGATTCATCTGTTACTTCTATGTGCCAGAGTGCATTTCAGGTGCTTGATCAAAATTAACTCACAGTGACCTTGTGAGGTGTTTGGCCTGCCAGCCCACTTCATAGATGAAGAAACTGGAGCTTAGGGAAGAAAAGCCAGCCCCCAGGTCAGAAGAGAGACCCTGAGGGTCACAGTCCAGCCCCTGTTGACAGGAAGGAGCATCAGCCCAGGTGCTAAGGGTCTCACCAGGTGAAGCCATGGGGATTGAGAGCTCCCGGGGAGGCCACCTGCCCTGACAGCCGCCTCTGGGCCCCCAACCAGTGTGGGGTATTCAGAACTTGCTGTGTCCCAGCTGGGACTTTCTTCACAGCAACCTCTGCCTTTTGTTGCAAGTGCTTGTCCTCAAAGTACTGGGTGGCCTCTTTCTGGCTGGCAGCCCACCTTTTGGGGCCAGAAATCAAGCATCTTGAGCAAATCAACTTTCATTCCAACAGCTGCAACTTCATTCCATTACAGCTTCAGGGGGCTCCTTGACCCCAGACCAAGTGTCTCATGACCCATTTAGGGAACATACTCTCCCCAGCACTCCATTTCCAAGGGCAAACCCTGTGCCCAGACCCCTAGTCTTCAGCCTTTCCCCAAAAACTCCATTTATTATTCTCCCTCCTCGTACTACAACCAGTCCTGTTTATTAAGTATTAAGCAAAGGATTTCCACTCTTTCATCCAGAGCTCAGCAGGCACTTTAGACCACAAGCTGATACCTGATATTCTACCCAAGCAGCCTTATCAAAGAGAAAAGTCTTTGCATTAGATTCAATTTAATGATTATTTGAGCATCTACCACATACCACATACTGTGCCAGGCTCTAGGGAACAGTAGTGACATAGACACTGATCTCTTGTAGCTCATCAGCTGGTGAGGGGGACAATTAGGCCCATCAACAGGCAGGTAGGGGGGCGGCACCTGTGGCTCAAAGGAATAGGGCGCCAGCTCCATATGCTGGAGGTGGTGAGTTCAAACCCAGCCCTGGCCAAAAAAAAAACAGGCAGGTAGGGAGCAGGAGGTGGTGACAGACACCAGGAGGGAGTGCTTCCCCTGTGGGAAGGGGGCCTGGGCTGAGCCCTGACAAGGCAGAGCTAGGCAAGGGAAAGGGTGGGAAGTGTGGAAGCCCACAGAGAGGGGAGCTGGGAGGAAAAGGAGGCTGCAAGGGCCTTGATGGCCAAGGTGAGATACCAGACCTCGTCCACCAAAAGATTCAGGCATAGCATGATGGGATGGGAACTGTGGTTTGGAGATACCACATTGACTGCTGAGTGAGGAACAGATACAACTGGTTGAGTCTCCTGTATACAGCCAAAAGCAATGTACCTTTTTATTATTGCTGAAGGTTAACTCCTTGACTACCTCTATTTTACAATTCAGAGTTTCCAGAAACCAAAACACATCTGCAAGTAGGATATGTAAACCAGAAACCCAGTGATTTAATCCCACAAGGGTTTTATGTGTACCACACACACCCCTCCCTGACCCTGCACCCCTGCCATACTTGGCCCTGTGGCTGGCTTGGGGAAGGGAGGAGGACTTGGTTCCTAGACTCAGGGTGGGAGTCTGTTGGAGGAAGAGAGGATACAGGCAAAGACAGTCCTTTGTGGGGGTAGGGGAGGGTATAGGCAGGACATGTGGGGATCTATCCTTGGAGTTTAGAAATTGGTGAAGAGGCCAAAAATCACCAATGATCAGCCACCTTTTCTCCTTGAAATAGTTCATTCATAAGGACCTGCTCTTGAGTTCATCTCTGCCTTCCCTAAGTGCAAGGCAGGATGGGTCAGGACAGTTATCTCACAAAATTATCAGTTGGGAAAGCCAGGGTGTCTGCAGGAGAGCCCTGTGTGGAACAGCATATGAGCTGTGACTGATACCAGAAAGCAATGGCCAGGGCCCAGGACAAGGGACTGGAATATCGAGGGAGGCAACTGGCATAAGAAGACACCACCAAGGTCAAGGGCAAACACTGAGACTGCCATCCCCAGCCACCTAGTACCCACTTTGTACCTTGAACCCTTCTGTGCTGATCAGCTGTTGTGTGGTGGGTAACTGTACATTTAAAACTCTCTGCTTACGTAATAAGTCCACTCATGGTCAAACAATGTAGAGAAGAGATATAAAGAATAAGATAAAAACTACCTATAACCACCCACCCAGAGATAACCGCTGTTCATTTATGTCCTCTATGTTTCATTTAACATTCAAGGTCTGACAATTTAGTTCTTGAACTCATCCTAGGAAAAGTGCTCTACACCTCATTGCTGAATATCACTATATTCACCTTTAAAGTATTCCCCTCAGGAAGCTGTGAACTGACACCAGTGCCTAGTCCCCCCTTCAGAGCAATTTGGGAATTCTTTTTTTTTTTTTTTTTTAAAAAAAATCTCACCTTGTCACCCTGGGTAGAGTGCAGAAGCATCATAGCTCACAGCTTTGATGGTACACCTCAAATTTCTGGGCTCAAGGGATCCTCTTGGCTTAGCCTCCCCAAGTGGCTGGAACTAAGGCTCCTGCCACAATGCCTGGCTATTTTTCTTTTAAATTTGAGACAGAGCCTCAAGCTGTTGCCCTGGGTAGAGTGCTGTGGCATCACAGCTCACAGCTCTCCTGCCTCCGCCTCCCAAGTAGCTGGGACTACACGTGCCTGCCACAACACCTGGCTATTTTTTTGGTTGCAGCCGTCATTGTTGTTTGGCGGGCTCAGGCTGGATTTGAACCCACCAGCTCAGGTGTATGTGGCTGATGCCTTAGCCACTTTAGCCACAGGTGCCGAGCCCTGGCTATTTGTTTTTTAGAGACGGGGGGGTCTTGCTTTGCCTCAGGCTGGTCTTGAACTCATGAGCTCAAGCAATCCATCCACCTCAGCCTCCCACCATGCCCACCCTACAAATAAATTTTGATACACATTGCTGGTTATTTTTTTTTTCTTTTTTTGCAGTTTTTGGCCGGGGCTGGGTTTGAACCCGCCACTTCCAGCATATGGGGTCAGCCTTTGAGCCACAGGCACCGCCTCCGGTTATTTTCTAAAGTTCAAACCATAACAGAGGAATTCCTAGAAGAGACATTCAACTCTCTGCCTGTCCCAGTGTCTCCTCTCCCGTCTTTCTTGGCATTTGCAAGGTATGGAACTTCCAGTTGATGAAGCAGCACTAACGTGGTGTGGTCTTCAAGCAGAGGATAGTGATTCCTGCAGGGGGTCCTCAAGCTTTTTAAACAGGGGGCCAGTTCACTGTCCCTCAGACCGGGACAGGGGATAAATGTCCTAGTTTGAGGACCCTTAACTTAAGGTGTTGGCTTTATTGTTCAGGTGTAAGCAATGCTCTGCAAAGTGCTAATAAGAGGCTTCTTTGGAAGCAAGTCCTTTCTGCTCAGAACCTGGGTTAGAGGAAAACCTGCGGAGCAAAGCTGAATGGTGGAGAGGAAACAAAGGACACAGTGGAGTAGGAAATACTGGGCTCAAATCCAACCTGAGCCTCATCTTGGAGGTGGGATATGACCCTAAACACCAAAGCCCTGATGGGAGGGTGAGGAGAGAGCGGGCAATGGCACGGTGGGTGGCATGGTAGGAGGTCCAACACACAGGGGAGATTCTAATACTGCAACGTCAATGTCACTACCTAACTTTGGTCTGTAAGAATTTGTCACCCAGTCTGGAGACAGGACCCACGGTGTGAATCCTTGAGACAACATGAGCCGTTCAATGGGAATTACATGGGACCTCTCAGCGGTTCTCCACTCTGGGGATCCTGGGAAATGGATGGGAGTCTTATTCCAATTTTCAAGGTAATAGATGTAGTTTTCTCCTTTAGGGAATCTTTCTCAACTTGCTAGTTACTATTATTGCATTTTTTTTTTTTTTTGAGACGGAGTC